AAAAAAATTATTAAAAATATATAGTAAAATATAACAGTATTTACATTGCAATGGAATGAAATAGATCAGGGGGGTCAAACTCAAATACACAGTGGGCCAACATAAAAAAATGGGTACTAGTCGAGGGCCGGACTGGTTCAATGTTTATTGCAGAACTTATTGAAATGAACTTATTGCACATATTCAACCTGGAACTAACAAAGCTTAAATGATTGCCTATAAAAACAACAATAAACATTAAATAATCAGCTGCATTCATTTCTTATGGCTCTATCTGCAGCTTCCGAGTCATTTCTTATGATTACATTTTCCCACAGGCCAACAACAGCTTCAACAAAACTATTTCCCTCAAAGAGAAACCAAACATGCCCTGTTGTCGTGAGAGAGAAAGTGCAGAAGGAAACATCCATTAAACTCAGTGTGCTGCTCTGTGATGCTAGCTCAGATACTTGGCATCTCATCTTGGGTGCAAGGTCATCAATGTTTGGGCTCAGGCTCTGAGCTGAGGAGACCCTCAGGATGGAGTGAAGGTGTGCGTGCAATATACCGGCGGGCCAGATCTAATAGTAATTAGAAATTATCCTGCGGGCCGAAATTAAATCCACCAAGGCCCTGATTTGGCCCCCGGGCCTTGGGTTTGACACATGTGAAATAGAGGAATAAAATATGGAATAAAAATCAGCCGTAATACAAAATAATGTTGTACATTGTGGGCATTAATTAGATTTAGAAGATTTTTAGAAGATCATATCATCATTTATAATGTAATATAACTGTAATGACCTCCTTTAAGAAGCACAGCTCATTCAAACCTGCAACATTAGCAAAACATACAGTATTTACCAGCAACCTAAGCAACTTACAAATCTAAAACCAATCTCGAAAACTTGCGGAAATACATTCATATTGATGTGTTCGTAAAAACGTTTTTAGAAGTTGTTTTCTGTAGTTTCTAGGGAGTTTATACTTTTTTCTGAAAATCACACTTTTTTCCAAACATTTCTAAATGTTTCTGAAAATGTTAGAATTTGACTTTCATCAGAAAATCTCAAAAATCTGACTTTTTTCATAAAATTTCAACATTTTCACTTTTATCTGGAAATCGCAACCTCCTGTCTTTTTTCAGAAAATCTAAAAAAATCTGATATTTTTCTTAATTTCAAAATGTTTACATCTCTGTGTTTTACCTTTTCCTATTGTTGTTGTAATTTTAATTTGAAGGTTTTATTTTTATTATTCTGTGTATTGCCCTACAGGGATACATTCATATTTATCTTATTTAATTGGTTTAAATTTGAACGTGACCCTACCCAAAATATGTTGAGTTATTTATTTTAAATATGTCTAAATAGGAAAATACACTTTTGTAAATATTGATTATCTGAACGAATGAATATATCCTTCATTATTGATACGTATATATTCACTGTTTTGCATATTTTAATGTTTTTTTAATTTCTATTTACCTCTAATTAATGTGCAATGTCTTCTATGCTGCTGTGACGGATTAATGAAGCATATTTTATTATGTTACGGCCGTAGCCAGGTGGGTGAAGGAGGTGTTGGGGTGAGGGACAGAAACAGAAGGTTCTCCAACGTTTTCGTACTTCACTGAGCCGCCACGTCCATTTCCATCGTAATGCACCTATGGAAAAAAAACAACAAATAAGTTCAAATGGAAATAAAGAAATGTTTAATTCTAGCTCTTTTATGTTGATGATATTAAACCCACACCGTTTTACTTGTAGGTCTTCTTACGGAGTTTAGGACTTTTCCATTCCTCCAATGCTATAACATAAACATATACTGCCAACATTTTATTGATATATTTTTGTCTTCAATAATAGTATAGTCGAAGATTGAAAAATAGGAAAAGAGAGGCATGACATTCAACAAAAGCCACCAACATTACAATTAATTATAATTGTTGCATCCACTTTTCTTATGATTTTCAACTCACAGTCAGGTCAGCAGGTGGTCTCTTGTTTCCTTAGAAAATAACAACAGAGGAAAATGTAAGCTGTGAACTTTCATTTTGTATTAACCCTCTTTCATCCATCTGATCCAAGTGGTATCTTGTTGATGAAATCACATGTTTATTTGTAAATGTCTTGTGTCATTGTCAATACATTTGTTCTTACTGACTTCATATCATTGTGTTCTCCTTCTGTTTGTATTGGTGCTTTTCAAATGAAATGTTTAAATACCATGTATAAGGGAGCTTGGGGATCGCAGTAAAAAGCACCTAGGTGAAACTTCAAATCAATAAGATAGAAATCATTAAAAAAATGGATAAAAAACACACACGTTCCCTATTTCCATTCATCAAATCATGCAAATTAAACTTAAATAACAATTTCAGAGGGCATTTTTACATAATCTACAATTTTTTGAGATTCAATAAATTACGATTTTACTTCTATCTGTTTATTATTCTGTCAGTAGTCCAAAGATGTTGGCAGGATGAGTGTTATTGCATCTGAAAATAATGTATGTCGGTATGAATTCTCTCACCTCGAGCTTTAAAGAGAAGAACAGTAATGACCGTCAACAGGAGGATTTGAGCCACGCGCATCGCTAACATGATGATGATTCCCACAGACACACCTTTAAAGCATGGACAAAATTATAAATACAGTTATTATTATTATTAACAAAAGACCGGGATCACATGATGGAGAAAACATATTAAACATTATGTCTGCTAAAAATCAGTGTGTTAGCGTAATCATAGTGAGCATTTGAGCATTGTCAGAGTGAACATGATAGCATTGTCATTGTAAGCGTGTTAGCATTTTCATAGTGAACATGATAGCATTGGAAGCTTGTTAGCATCGTCATAGTGATCATGTTAGCATTGTGCATTGTCAGGTGAACATGTTAGCATTGTCATTGTAAGCGTGTTAGCATTGTCATAGTGAACATGATAGCATTGGAAGCTTGTTAGCATCGTCATAGTGATCATGTTAGCATTGTCATTGT